TAATAAATACAAGGCCAGGCACAATGGCTATGCCTGTAATCTGAGCAATTTGGGAGGCCAAGGTGGGTGGATCCCCTGAGACCAGGAGTTTGAGACCAGTCTGGCCAACATGGCGAAACCTTGTCTCTACTAAAAATACAACAATTAGCCAGGTGTGGTGGCACGTGCCTGCAATCCCAGCTACTTGGGGGCTGAGGCATGAGAATCACTTGAACCTGGGAGGCAGAGGTTGTAGTTAGCTGAAATATGCCACTGCATATTTCTGCCTGGGTGGCAGAGTGAGACCCTGTCTCAAAATAATAATAATAATAGGCCAGGCACAGTGGCTCATGCCTATAATCCCAGCACTTTGGGAGGCTGAGGTGAGTGGATCATGAGGTCAGGAGTTTGAGACCAGACTGGTCAAAATGGTGAAACTGCGTCTCTACTAAAAATACAAAAATCAGCTGGGTGTGGTGGCAGCTGCCTGTAATCCCAGCTGCTTGGGAGACTGAGGCAGGAGAATCGCTTGAATCCAGGAGGCAGAGGTTGCAGTAAGCCAAGATTGCATCATTACACTCCAGCCTAGGCGACAGAGCGAGACTCCGTCTCAAAAAAAAAAAAATAAATAAAATAGATTTTATTTTTAAAGTAGTTTAACTTCACAGCAAAATTGAGCAGAAAGTACAGAGATTTCCCATATGCCCCCTGTCCCCACACATGCACAGCCTTTCGCACGATCACATCCTTCACCAGAGTTGTACATTGTTATAATCGATGAACCCACATTGACACATCAATATCACCCAAAGTCCACGGTTTACATTAGGATTCACTCTTGGTGTGTACAATAATGACATGTATCCAACATTGTGGTATCATACAGAAGAGTTTCACTGTCCTAAACATCCTCTATGCTTTGTATTTTTATCCCTCCCTTGACCCTAATCCATGGCACCACGAACCTTTTTCTTGTCTTCATAGTTTTGCCTTTTGCAGAATGCCATATAGTTGGAATCATACAATATGTAGCCTTTTCAGATCGGCTTCTTTCGCTTATTAATATGCATTTAAGTTTCCTCCATGACTTTTCATGGCTTGATAGCTCATTTCTTTTTTTT